TGTGCAAGCTGTTGCTTCTGCATTAGTGCCAGTTGTTGTTGATGATGCTGGTATTGTTCGGCTGTAAATGCTGAACAAAATATAAAATGAGAGAATACAGTATCAAAATATGTAGACCTAACATGTGCATCCCCTAGTTTAAATTCTAAAAATGCAGTGTTAATCATAGTATATTTATTTAGTACTCCAGCTCTAGTGGGGTGTCATACTAACTGCACTTCCAAAATAAAAGTTGGTTGTAAACCATCCAGGAATAAACATTTTAATTGCTGTTATAGAATGCAAATTGCCGTATTCCAATCATCTTAGTAGCAGAACTTCTGATACTCACATCAGCTAAAATATGTTCTTTGTTTCTAAATTTTGATAATACTGATATTCAACTGATAATTTAAGTATGTATATGTAAATATGTGTATCAGAATATAAATTGTGACATTGTAATAATTCAACTTCCCTCAATTAACCCATCTTTGGGAGTGGGGCAGTCAAATATAGAACAGTTGATTAGGTTTAGGTTAGGTTTAGGTTTATTAAATTTATATGCCACCCTTCTCCCAAGGACTCAGGGCGGCGTACAACATTAAAAGAAACGCATAATACAAAAGTTTTTAAAAAAAATAGAATATCCCAAATAAACCCAATTAAAATTGACAATAACATTTTTTTTTAAAAAAAATCAAATTAAAATTAACAATGATCAATAATTTATTTTGTTTTGTTCAGGCCAGGCTGGTTAAGCTGATTTACAGAGGAATGGAGAAAGGCTATATTTATTGTCTAAGGAGAGTTCTAAAAATAGAAAATAGAGACGTTTTATTGCAATTTTTGTTTTACTGCATCTTAATGAAAATTTCCCTAATGCCAACTTTTAAAGTAAATTTAGACAGAAAAATAAATTATAAACTTTGTTTTTAGATAGAATGCCAAGTTTTCCAAATTAAATTCATTTTAAATACAGAAATTGGGACACTTTACTTCATCAAGTATTATTTAGATTAAACTTCCTGACAGAAAATTAAAACTCAGTTTACTTTTTAATTCCATGCACAAGACAGATACATGCCAAGCTTCAAAAACAGATTACTTATGTATCATTTTTTCTGTACACATAAAATGAAGTAAAAGAGATGGTTGAGAAAGAATTATTGGTGCACCATATACTTTTGATTAATGTAACCTTCATAATTACAACCCCAAATTAACCTTCATAAAACTTTTGCCTATCTAGAGGTCTCAATATATTGCAGTGTAGAAAAATGTCAGTGTTTTTGAGTTTTATTTCCTTTTTCTTTACCCCCGATATCAAGGAATTATGGCTTTTAGGCTTTAAACTGCAGCAAAAACATTTAAGCTGAAACAGATTTGGCTGGATGAAGCCTTAATATTCATCTATTTAAATTGAGTCAATTTGTGCTTAATACACTTATGAGAAAAATATAGTACTACAAAGTCAATAATTTTTATCTTGTATAACAAACAATTATGACAATATAACTGTTTGTGGTATTGACTTTTGGAGTATGGAATGAAAGTAAGTTCTATGCAAAAATATTGTTAAAGATACAGTGGTGGAAGAAAATGTAGTAAGAATAATAATTAGATATTCACATTAATTCCAACATTATTAATTCCATTCCACTGAACAATGTATACATAAGAAAATGTATGTATTTGGTAACTACAGCAAAAATAAAATATGGTGGCACAGTGGTTAAAATATAGTATGGCAGGCTACATCTGCTCTCTGTGAGCAGTTTGGCAGTTCAAATCTCACGAGGCTCAAAGTTGACTCAGCCTTCCATCCTTCCAAGGTTGGTAAAATGAGGAGCCATATTGCTTGCAAACCGCTTAGAGTGTGCTGTAAAGCATTATGAAGCGGTATATAAGTCTAAGTGCTATTATTATTATTGAACAAAACCTAATATAAATTAATTTTCAAACAAAAAATACTTGTGTAGTATTTCACATCACTGTTCCCATTGATAGCCTTTCTTCATCTGGTTTCACAGCTTCTATAGACTCATAAAGTGCAAGTAATGGTATAACCATACTGGTTATATCACAAAGTTCTTTAGGAATGCTTAGATTTTTTTTTTCATTTTAAACAATTGGATTCTGGTTTTATATTAAATTGCTATTGAAAACTTCATTTTTAAAAATGATTTTTCATGTGCAAATGAAACGGTGGTTTGAGATGTGCAAACCAAAATTGTATGGAACACAAAAACCTGGTATTTCCACCCAACAAAAAACAATTGCATATTTATGGTTTTGTTTGTTCCAGCTCATATAAATTCACATATATAAATTTTGTTTGAATTTCCCCCCCTAAATATATATGTCTGAATTTTGAAATAGTTTTTAAATGCTTGATTCTAAAAAAAATTCGGGATACTTGGGTTCACTCAGGCATCCCATCTTTGCATATATGTTTTAATGATTGGAAGTATGGAAACTAAAATTATCAGTACACTGAGGCCCTATTGCAATGTGCTCAATTAGTTGATTATGATAGTTTTAAATTGTATTAATTAATTAAATTTGTATAGTCACCTATCTCAAACTGATGACTCTAAGAATGTATTCTAATAATTTTCTTCTCATGGTCTATTTGTCTCTCAGCTATTACTGGTATACCAAAACCACCTTTGACCCACATATTTTAATTTCAATATAATACAATCTGAATCGAACTATCATACATGAAATTTGTCCTTAACAAAAAGTGTTTTCTTTTCAGACTTGTGGTGCACAATGTTTTGCATTTTAAAATATGTTCAACAGTCCTCAACTTCAACTACAATTGACTCTGGAAACTACATTTCTGTTACTTAGCAAGATAGTTGTTCAATGAATCTTGCACCATTTTATGATCTTGCTTGCCACAGTTGTTAAGTGAATTACTGCAGTTGTTAAGTTAGTAACATTATTGTAAAGTGAATCTGGCTTTCCCATTGACATTGCTGGTCAGAAGGTCGCAAAAGGTAAATCACATGATTCTGGGACACTGCAACCATCATAACTATAAGCCAGTTGGCAAGTATCCAAATTTTGCTTATGTGACCATGGCGATATTGCAATGTTTGTAAATGTGAAAAAGACCAGTCATAAGTCACTTTTTAGTGACATTGTTATTTTGAGCAGTCACTAAGCAAACTGTCATAAGTTCAGGACTAACCATATATCAAGCTATTTCCCATATTTTGAAAGTGCTCTGATGTTAAAACAGCTTTGTTCCAAATATGATATATTTTGAGCTTGAAACTTTTTTTTAGAAATGTTTCATGGCAACCCATTGAATTTCATTTAATTTGAAACATTGTCTTGTTTCAAAGACAATGGCTTAGGCACACAGAAACACACATTATCTGTGCAGATTTTGTTGGGGAAAGCAGCAAGTAAACACATGAAACTGCCCTGAAGAATATGCTTGCAAAACATCTTGACTTTAGAGAGTTTAAAAAACCTGGTTATTTTATTAGCTTTCTTTCTATAAGATTTATAATGTAACTATTACAAAATTTGAGAAAATACTAATAATCCGATGTTTTTACATAAGTATTGTTCTGTTTAACAAAATGATTAAGAGAATAATATGATTAAGAGAATAATAATATGTAGAAAATATTTTCCATCTATCCATTAAAGCTCATTTGGTGACTTGCAGCAGTGTTACAAGAGTTTTATAAGTCACTCTGAGTGAGTTGGGCGGCCATGTATATTTTCATAAATGAATTAATGGGTGTGTTGAGCTGTGTCCATAACCACACAACAGCATTATGGACTAGCTAAAGTTTCCTAATAGTCCTCAAGGGCAATCCTGGGTAAAGCAAACGGCAGTAATCTGACAAAATGATGACTAAGCATGAGTTACATTAAGAAAGACCTCCTGATCTACAATGACATGATTACAAAAACACAGATTCTTCCTGTGACATTTTTCATTGAATAAATAGCAGTTTACTGCCACAAATGAATGTAGTTCACTACAAGCTAGTATTTTATAACTTGTTTTCAATTTAGGTTGGAAAATAAACACAATTTGCCATATTCAGCAACAACTGCAAAGTCTCGCTTTTCTGAATAATGACAAATATGAAATGGAATTGTAAAAATGGGAGGAACTACACAAGTTGGAAATCTCGAATTATGATTGAATTGTAATATCTAAAGACCTTGTTGAATTATGTCAAACAATCAGCCTAAGAACCAGATTTATAAAAATGTAGAATATATTTTAAATTATTTCAGAGTTTATAGTCAACTTCTATTTTTCTTTAGTTATAGTTTTTAACTTCCTAGTTATACAAGCTACCAGGTGCAACAAAAATGACAATACAGCAGCAGGCAAACTCATTAGAGCAGGACATACATCTACTGTATATTGAAGATTTGCTAAAACAAGATAAGACAAATGTGTTTTCTTTGGTGGGCCAAGAGTTCTAACTTATTTTGGTATCGAATGAAATACTATTCCAATATCCTCATACTTCTGTTTGGAATCAATTATGTAATTCAAACAGACTAATGAAATTAATTATAAAAATAAACTTTGAGTCTTATATAGACTTGATCCATTATTCAAGTCATAAATAATAACAAAATGATTAGACAATTGAAATGACCAAAAGTCTTAATAAAATTGCTACGGCCATTATTATATACATTCTTTTTATTTATCCATGTCAGAGATGATTTCCCCATCTTTTATTTAAGAAACAAATATCCATTGCTACACAACGGTTCCAACATAATTTAAAGAGTTTATATCAATTACAGAAGATAACAAAAGATCATGACCACAACTGAAACATTACACTCTCAAGATTTACATTTGCAAATTACATATTTAACCAACACAAATCTTAGTAATTCTTCCAGAATTCTTTAGCAATGTGCTTCAATCAAAAAGCAATATCCTTCTTAGCCGTATCCCAGGCTGCCTGACTTATCAAAGTTTACAGTTTAGAAATATAATTCTAAACTTCCAAAAAAAACCTCCCTCCCTCACTGTAGCCTTAAAATAATATTCCTGCTCATTTTTAGACATCATGTATATAAGACTTTTTCTTTAAAAAAAAACAACAAGATCCTTTTACAAGAAATCAGGATAGAATTGCTTCTTTTCAACATATTAATGGCTTCTCAAAAACAAAAAAAAGTTTTTTATTTGTTACTTGGAACCCTGACAACACTGCCCAAGGGGCTACAGGCTACAGAGATTTCATTGGTGATCTCTAAACTTTTTGTCCTATTAAATGTAAGTTGGTCCTTTAAACCAGCAGAACTCTTCGCGATTGGGTATATCACTAAATTTTGGATTTTAAGTGATGATGTTTTGAACGTTTCAAATCAATTCCTTAGTTTGCATTCTTAATAGCAAATTACATAGTGACAAAACTGAAAAATATAAATAAAACATGAATAAATATATGTTAAGGAATGAATTCTACAAAATTATACTAAAATTTTTAAAATAAAATAGATTCAATACATCTATAATTACAATTTAGCTATAATTAAAGTACAAACTAAATCTGGATATTTACTATATCAATTTCTAATTTTAGTATTGCATTTAATCATGCAGCATAAACATCAGCAACTAAGGAAAAATATGGAAAACATTAATAAAAATTAGGCTTTCAGAATGAATACTTTTAGAATTATATTAATCAAAATCAACATACCAAAATGTGCTGCACCACTGCTATCTTTACTTTGATTAGAGGTACTGCATGTCTGGTTCCCAGGTTGTGCTGTGCCTGCTCGATTAACACTCCTGTGCAATTTCCTATATGAAAGTTCACCATTGTCACCATCATGTAGGGATGGTGTCCGAGGCCTAAAATGACGCCATCTACGTGATTTGATATCGACTAGTATCTGACTGAGGTCTTTAGATAAATATCTATCCGAGGTATTTGTTTCTGAGGTATTGGCAATTTGATTGACTGAAGAGTGTAGTTGTGAGGAAGGTGTTT